AGTGTATTGTCTAATCTCCTTGAGTTTGTGTAGTTACTAGAGCTTCTTTTGCTGTTGATTTTAAGCTTTGTTGTGTTGTGGTCTGATAGAATACATGGAAATATTTAAATATTTTTCCATTTGTTGAGGTTTGTTTTGTTCCCTTTAGAGAAACTTGCATGGGCTGCTTAATAGAAAGTGTATTCTTTGGTGCTTAGGTTGAATATTTGGTAAACGTCTGTTAGGTCCATTTGGTGTATGCTATCATTTAATTCAGATGTCTGTTTTGTCCAGTTGACCTTTCTATTGGCGATAATGGGATATTGAAGTCACCTACTGCTATTGAGTTGGGGTTAATCTGTGTCTTAATATACTGTAGTACTATTTTTATGAAATTGAGCACACCGGAGTTTGCACAGATATGCTCATGATTGTAATATCATCTTGGTCATTTGTTCCTTTGATCAGAATTAAGTAACCCTCTGTTTTAATTTGAAGTCTATTTTGTCAGATATTAGAATTGCAACACCTGCTTGCTTCTTTGTGCCATTTGCTTGAAATATTTTTTTCCATCCTTTCACCCTAAGGTAGTGCCTATCCTTGAAGGTGAGATGAGTTTCTTCCAGATGACAAAATGATGGGTTTTGTTTCTTAATCCATCCAGTCTACTACCCTGTGTCTTTTGACTGGGGAGTTGAAGCCATTGATATTTAAGTTATTATTGAAAGATGTGTATTGGTTACTGTCATTTTAATTGTTTGCATTTTTTAAAATTTCTTAAAATATATTTTACAATTTTTTATGAGCATGAGTGTATTACCTGCATGTGTATAAGTATACCCATGTCATGCACTGCCCATGGAGTTCAGAAGAAGGCATTGGATTTCCTGGAACTGCAATTACAAATGGTTGTTAGCCACCATGTGTGTGCAGGGAATCAAACCCAGGTCCTCTACAAGAGCAGTCAGTGCTCTTAACTACAGAGCCATCTCTCCAGCCCCTGTTTGCATTCTTGGTCCAATTTTGTGTTTCCACAATTATACCTTTTATTTGCTTTCTGTTGCTTCTTGGGTATAGTTGATCCTTTCTTTAGTCCTTTGTATTGCTTCAAGTATTCCCTATAACGTTTGTTTGGTGGACACATGAATTCTTTGAGCCTATTCGTGTCATGGACAATTTCTCTTTCCTCTTCAATTATAATAGACAGTTTTTCTGGATAAAGTATTTTGGTTTGGCATGTATAATCATTTAGAACTTGATATACTTTTCGTCCAGGCGCTTCTGACTTTCATAGTTTGCATTGAAAAGTCAGCTGCAATTTTCATGGGTTTTCCTTTATATGTGACTTGTTGTCTTTTCTCTTGAAGCTTTCAGCATGCTCTTTATTCTGTACATTTAGTGTCTTTTCTATGATATGCCTTGGGGAGTTTCTTTTCTGGGTTCTATTTGGTGTTCTGTGTGCTTCTTGTACCTCTGTGGGTATGTCTTTCCTTAATTTAGGGAAATGTTCTTCTATAATCCTGTTGAAGATGTGGTCAATGACATTTACCTGGGATTCTTCTTCTATGTTTATGATACATAAATTTGGTCTTTTCATGGTATGGGAATTTTTCCCACATTTCCTGCATATTTCATTCCTGTGTTTTTATTTATTTTTAAATTTTGCTTGAGTAGTTCAATTCTTCATCTTTATAGTTTAGTCTTGATATTCTGTTTTCCATTTCATTCATTCTTTTAGTGCGGCTTTCTCCTGTTGTTTCAAATTGGCTTACTGAATTTTTTACTTCCTTTTCTTTTCAGCCTGAATTTTCTATAGGGCTAGTTGTGTTGGGTGGAGACATACTATTTTGGTTTTTCATGTTATTGTTTTTGTTGTGGTTTGGCAAGTGGATTTCTTTTGTTGCTTGTGATTCTGGTATGAAACTTGAGCCTGCCTCTGTTGAGTTGACGTTTGATTCTCTTTTTTTATTACTTACATAGCTTGATTGCTTTCTGATTGGTTATGAAGGTTAGTTGGTCTAGACTTCAGGTTCTCTCTTTTGATTTTATATTGGAGGGACCAGATGGATCCAGGAAGGTGAAGCTGCCCTGGCTAGTTAAGCACACTTCAGTAGCCTCAGAGGAATAGGGCCAAAGTCCAAGGAGAGGTGATTGGACAAGGAAGTGCAGGTCCCTACTACTCAGCAAAGAAATCTGAGCCCCACAGCCATGAGAGAGACTGCAGATGGTTCCAAAGCAGGGGAATGGGCATGATGGGATTTGGGCAGCTCACTCCAGAGGCCAAATCAAGCACTGTCAGATAGTCTCAGACAGGCCTGCATGGTAAGGAGAGGTGATGGGACAAGGAAGTGCAGGTCCCTACTAGCCAGCTGGGAAGTCTGAGCCTTATAGCCCAGACAGTATTTTTTAAAAGATGTGTGTGCATGTGTTTGTGCATACTCACACATGCATATGTATACCTGAAGAGGTCGGAAGAGAATGTCAGATCCCCTGAAGCCACTGTTACAGGCAGTTGTGAACTGTCCAACTTGGATGCTGGGAACTGAACTCAGATCCTCTGCAAGAGCAGTATGTGTTCTTAACTACCCAGCCATCTCTCCAGCCTCACAGAATATTTTAAAATTAGAAAAAGATTATGAAACATCCAGAGATGTTTTCTCATACTTCTTCTAGAAAGTCTGAACTTTGAGTTTTGCTCAGCTTCATTGTGTCTCAACTGTTTTCTTTCGGAATCATGCAGCCAGCCATCCACTTTCATAGGTTTTACATCATGAATTGAGCCAACTATGAACTGAAAATATTGGGGAAGCAATGTATATATACTGAACATAGACTTTTTCTTGTCATTATTTCTAAGCAATGCAGTACAACTTTCTGTAGCATCTACATTGCAGTAGATGTTATAGGTCATCTAGATATGCTGAACATATACAGGAGAATTTGCTATATGCAAGGGCTTTTCCATTTTGCATAAAGGCCTCAACCTTCTGTGGACTGCGGAATTCCTTAGGCATCCTGGAACCAATCCGTACTGGTAACAAGGAACAACTGTAATTGTCCCAAGTAGGGCTGTGCCAGATGCCTGGCTCACCTCTCCTGTCTGCTCTTTCCTTCCTCTTGTCTGAATAGTACCACGTCTTGGTATTTTACTGGCTTCTTCTGGTAGTCTTTTATACTTTGTTCACTTTTTCTCATTTTACTTGGTTAATGATGGCTAATCTAAAGGAATGTAGTTAACCATTCTGTAAACACAATCATGTGAAACTTTTATTTGTGTTGTGATAGTATTGATTATTGGTTTTTGTATTTTGTTTTAACAGAATACAGGGTTTTGGGCTCATCTCCTTGATTCAGTACAGCCTTGTCCTCCCTGTCAGTGGTAACTGTTTGGAGAGTGAGGAATACAAGGGGAAGAACACTGACTTCCATTAATTAGACAGATCTGAGTGCAGTCTGTGCTTGGTGATCATGCTAACATGGAAAATACTCATATATAACACATCATCCCATACACTTTGAGTTATTAGATTATTTATAATGCCTAATACAGTGTAAATAGTTACACTATATTGCTTAAATAATGATGAAAAAGTCTGAATTGTCTGTTAACTATAAATTTTCTTTTTAAAAACATTTATGTTTGGGTATGCCTGTGTCTGTGTGAGTATAAGGGTGTGTGTGTATGTGATTGCACATGTAGAGGTCAGAAATCATCTGATGTCATGGAGCTGGAGTTACAGGCATTTGCAGGATGCCTAGCTTGTTACATGGGTGCTGGTGTCTGGACTCTGATCCTCATGACTGCACAGCAGAGTGCTCTTGACTGCTGAGCCATCTCTCCATCCCTGCTTTTAAAAAATTTAAGAATAGTGAGAATGGAAACAAATTATGTATGGATAGTACCTAGCATGTGATAGATGCTTAGCAGGGTTTTTTGTTATTTTGTTTCCCCCCTCCCCCCAGAGAAATTACTTAAGACCACTCTCATAGGAATTTATAACTTTACCATGTAGTAACTGTTATCAAACCCTTAAAAGGGGAATTTTTGGTTGTGTAGTTTAGCAGGCATTCTTTGAGCCCCCACTATGTTCTAGGCAGTTTAGTTAATCCTGTTGCAATAGAGATGATGCCATCTAGGACTTTGCAGTGCAGTGTGTTAATAGTGAAAGACGGTGAGCAGGGAGAGGCTATATTAAACAGTGTTATGAAGCTGAGGTATTGGAGTAGGTAAACTTTTGGGACATTATTACTTCTGTTGAAACTGTACAACTCGGAATTGGAGTACAAAAGTAGCCACAGTCAATATACAAAGGAATGGGCACAAATTTGGTGCACCCCCATCGTCTCACCACTCTGGAAGCAAGTGAATCTTTTTGAGTTCAAGGCCAGACTGGCTGCAGAGCGAGTTCTAGGCTAATCCTGGCTATATAGAAAACCCTGTTGCAAAAGCAGAGCCCTGTCCCAGAACTTTGCTGGCTCTAGCCACTCCCCACCCACCCCAGGCTAAATGGCTTTTACATTTTTTAAAGAACAAGATGGAATAGAGACAGTATGTGGCTCACAAAGCCTGAAGCAGTTTTTCTAATTCTCTATAATTTGCTAGCTTCTAGACTGAAGAATAGAGTAAGTGATGATTGCTACAAAAGCAAAGGCCAGAGTTGATGGCCAAGAATGAAAAAGATCATGGCAAACAAGCTTGGGTTCATGAAGGATTCTGGTAGGAAGAGTAGGAGATTTTGTCTGCAGATATTGACATTGGCCCAGGTTCCTCACCAGCAGTGATGATTCTACCTATTGCTCATTTATTGAATTGTCCAAAAAGAGCTGTTTATAGGAGCAAACAAAGGAATAAAGTCATAGATAAGGAAAAGTTAAATGTTATTAGAAATGTTTTCCTGTATGGAAGGAATTAATGTTCCATGATAACTCAACCCCAGAATTGTCCTGTTAAATATCTATTGCTTTATAACTTTATAACAAGCTACTAATTAATTTTTTTTTAATTTTGTATTCTTTTACAGAAATACACTTCAGGAAATGGCCTCTAAATCTTGGCTGAATTTTTTAACCTTCCTCTGTGGATCAGCAATAGGATTCTTTCTATGTTCTCAACTATTTAGTATTTTGTTGGGAGAACAGGGTGACACTCAGCCTAAGATTCTTCATAATGATCCTCATGCTAGACATTCAGATGATAATGGACAGAATCATCTAGAAGGACAAATGGATTTCAATGCAGATTCTAGCCAACATAAAGGTATAGCTTGTTTCACTTATGAAAAATTTAAGTGCTGGAAAAGTTAGTTATATGAATCCCGTTACATTGTTGTCTCTACCTGTTGACTAAATTGAGCTCTGCATTTCAGATATTAAGATGATTTTCAATTTGCTACAGAAGGAAATTGCTTCACCCCAGAATTATTTAAGAAGCTAGTGATTTTTAATTATTTTTAAATAGAAATGATTTAGAAGCCATGACATGGAGAAAGGCATTAGTTTGGTAAATTTTTCCTTACGACCAGTTTTTGTTTCATGGTTTATATCTGTTTGGTTTTTGTTTTGCCCTCATTTCATACAGAAACTTAATTAAGGTATCTATTATAAATCTGTTCACATTTTTTATCAGTAATTTTTTTTTTTCCTTTTAAGAGTCAAAGAGCTCTGGAAGTAAAGAAAGTAAGGGTATGTTATAATTATGTCACTTTCTCCTGGCTACTTAGCCCTATAACAGCTTTCAGTAGAGTCTTCTATGGGCCCCTCAAACAGTTTTCTTCCAAGTTTTTGTCCTTTAGCTTTGTATGATGTCGTCAACTCTTGACATTTTAATTTTTATCCATTCCTGAGTTTATCTTTAACCCAGTTCTAGACATTGGGAAATGTTATTAACACAATACAAGAAACTTATGGGGTGCGCAGGGATCTCGTGGCGCCGGCCCCCTGCGCACACCTGGAGAGGCGGCGGGTTTGGTCGCTCACCACGTCGCTGTCCGCCGCTGAGGTGCGGAAGGTCTCGCACTAGCGTGGCGCAAGTCCCCGGCGCACACCTGGAAAGGCGGCGGGCCCCGCGGGCGCTTCTGGCCCGGCGGGCGCTTCTGCTGCTCGCTGCTGGCTCTCTGCTTCTCTGCTGCTTCTCTGCGTCCTCTGAGGCTTCTGCTACCGGGGCTTGCCCGGCCGAGTTCCGCCCTAATTTCACCCGTGTACTCTCTCTCTAAGTTCGGGACCGTCAGCTGCCGGGTCACGAGGAGAGGTACGAGGCAGCTAAAGCTAGGTTTCCGTGAGTCGATGACGGAAGGATATCGCCACCGGAGAGACTGGATCATAGGCAGTGAGACACAGGACTCAGCTTAATCCATGTTACAGCTCTTTATTCAGTGACTCAGCTCGGCTCCAAGTCTCAGTGTTTCAGCTCCTAGCTCCTAGTGATCCAGCTCCAATATTGAGAGAAAACCAGGACATTTTATACCGTGGGGGTAGTGGTAAAAGCTTTAGCTGATAGGCACTTTGTGGGATACCCTATTTACATATGGAAGTGGGCTCCTGCCAGGCTGCTAGACTGCCAGAAAAATCACACAGGAAAACCTGGCATTTCCAGAGCCGGCGGTCATGTTTCTGTGGCGGCTACTTTCAAAGACGAGGCAGGAAGATGCCGGGGAGGGACCCTGATGAAAAGGAGTCTTCTACATATGAAACCGAGCCCATGGGCTGTCCGGACATGGAGAGACTACTACTTCACAAACAGGGGTCCCCAACAGAAACTGATTTATTTGGCAGAGTAGAGTACAGATAGCTTGAAAATATTGGAATTGCATAGTGGAGAGGACCCCTCCAGTTAAGAGTTGTTTCTCATTTCATTCCAGTAGTAAATTACTTCTCCTGACCTCTCGTGAAGTGAAGGGTAGGCTTCAACCTGGTTGAGTTTTATCTCCTGAAAGCACATATATAACACTGGAAATTGTTTATGTGACAGTGATTCAACTCTGAGTAGTGCTGTATGTTATAGAGAAATTTGGTTATTGTGTACTTGTTCTGTAGCACAGTTCTATGCCTTCAGATGATCCCCTGGAGCTGGGCTCCTGAATTACCAGGCATTTGTGCTAGGCCTTACTATACGCGTATGTATTTGATAAACATTTGTTCACCTCATGGGCCACAGTGTGTGGGTTATGCTGAAAGTTTGCTCATCTAACCTTCATAATCTATACATTGAACTTTGCCCCATTCCCAAAGCTATCTTCCTCCTGTTTCTTATTTTGTATAGTAATTACCATCTGCCCAAGCTGGGAACTATTAAACTGTGGTACATAGTTTCCTTTACGTAACAGTTATCAGTTGTCACTGAATTCCAACAGTTCTACTTCATTTATCATATCCTAAGGTCTCTTAGTACACTTTCCCCAAGTCAGACCTTCAACTGTACCCACATACCTTCATTCATCTAAATTTCACCTTGCCTTTTGTGCTCTTTCAGTATTACTGAAGACCTGTATTTCCTGAATCAATTCTTCTTTTCTAGTTCCACTTTATTTTTCCCTTCTCTGTTCTACCCAAGTGCTTATGTCATTGCTGTCATTTAACAGTCCCTGCTTTCTTTTCCCGTAGCACACTGAACCATATATATATATATATTTCAGTTGCTGCATTTCTTACTATGCAACAATTACTGGTTTGCTTGTGAAGCTCCTGCTAAACTGAATTCCACAGAGTAGGAAATGTGTCTTGTTCACATTTCCACCTCCTGTGCTTGCACATGACTGGTACAAAGTAATACATGGAAGAGTGAGAGGCCATCTAGATCCCAGCAGTGGGGCGACTTGTCCTAAGTGAGACTGGAGGAGGATTCCTACATGTACCATTTTCTCTGTCCATATAGCAGAGCATGCGCATTGAATGTTTTCTAACTGACGACTGGAGAGTTGCCTACTCTTTTTCTGAGCTGAACTCATTGATATTCAGTGGCATGCTAATATTTTCATGACCCACCAAGCCTTTTCATCTATTCTGTCAATTGGATACCAATATGCCTATATTGTTAGTTTTTTTACAGGAATGTTCTAGTTTGTTTCTCCATTGCTGTGACAAAAATACTCTGACTAATACCAAGTTTGGGGGTGGGGTGTTATTTGGCGTACATCTCTCATGTCACAGTTCATCACTGAGGGAGCCCAAGGTAGGAACTCAGGGCAGGAACCTGGAGACAGGAGCTGAAGCACAGGCCATGGAGGAATGCTGCTTATTGGCTTGCTCCCTTGGCCCATGGTCAGCCTGCTTTCTTAGACAGTACAGAACAACCTGCCCAGGAGTGGTACTGCCCACAGTGGGCAGGATCCTGCGCATGCTAATATTTTCATGACCCACCAAGCCTTTTCATCTATTCTGTCAATTGGATACCAATATGCCTATATTGTTAGTTTTTTTACAGGAATGTTCTAGTTTGTTTCTCCATTGCTGTGACAAAAATACTCTGACTAATACCAAGTTTGGGGGTGGGGTGTTATTTGGCGTACATCTCTCATGTCACAGTTCATCACTGAGGGAGCCCAAGGTAGGAACTCAGGGCAGGAACCTGGAGACAGGAGCTGAAGCACAGGCCATGGAGGAATGCTGCTTATTGGCTTGCTCCCTTGGCCCATGGTCAGCCTGCTTTCTTAGACAGTACAGAACAACCTGCCCAGGAGTGGTACTGCCCACAGTGGGCAGGATCCTGCCCTCACACATCACTCTGAAATCAAGAAAACACCCCTTAAGACAGTGGCCAGTCCAATGGAGGCAATTCCCCAATTGAGATCCCTCTACCTAGGTGTGTTAAATTGACAACTAAAGCTGTCCAGCACAAGGACCAAGGCTGTAACCCACCCCTTGACCTTAACTGTAAAGGTTTACTTTCTTAGGAATATACCCGGAGCTTTGCTGTTCAGTGTGGTTTATGGATTCATACTGGTCTACAACTAAATAAGTATTGAAATCAGGAATAAAGCAGTTAGAAATATTTATAGCTAATTTGACAGAGTGATTTTTGTCTAGATATAAAAATATAAAACTGTAGAACTTATATATTCTTAAGCTTGTAGTTTTCTAATGATTCCTTTTTATCATGTTTATTTCTAAATGTTAAAGGGCTATACTTTAATAAAGATTGGCCCTTTACCACAGATTATTTTAAAAACCCTAATCTCTGGCCACACACCCCTGTGGATGTGGGCAGCACTAATTGGACTCAGGGGTTACTGTTAATAAAAAAGAAAAGAGGACATGAAGTTGGGAGGGAGAAAGTCAGGGGCACTAGGAGTATTTGGAGAGAGGTGATGGTGAATGGATATGATCAGTATACAGTGTAGCGTGGCATGGTGGCTCAGGCCTTTAATCCCAGCACTCTGGGGGCAGAGACAGACAGATCTCTTGTGAGATTGAGGCCAGCCAGGGCTACAGTTCCTAAAGTTGAACTTCAAAAAGGAACTTCACTCAGCAGCATGTTTTGTTTGGAAAGTACCCTGGCACCTCCTCTTTTCTGTCCCTTTGAAGTTCATTCACAGGAATGAGAAATTTCTGTGAATGTGCTGCTCCTGTCTTTATATTATGAAGTAGCAAAGAGAGATTATTTAAAGTGGTATTTACCATGACTATGAATCACTAGATGTGGGGTAACACCTGAGATACTGACTTCTAATGAATTACTAGGTGTTGATGCTTTCAGTCAGTTTAAGGAGTGAGCATTTAGGACCTAGTGACAGATTGAGTGTTCTTGGTAAGATTGACATAAAACCAATGAATTAGAATGTCAGTTCATGTTAGATTGACTTTTTCTCTAAGTCACTAATAGTAGAGGGGTAAATAGAGTCTTGGGAATTAAGAAAATGATTTCTTTGGTTCTGTTTTATTTGAATTTTATATCTGTTAAAATACTTCTTAAAATTTTTTTTTTACTAGATGAGAACACAGACATCGCTGAGAGCCTCTATCAGAAAGTTAAAATTCTTTGTTGGGTTATGACAGGCCCTCAAAATCTAGAGAAAAAGGCCAAACATGTCAAAGCTACATGGGCCCAGCGTTGTAATAAAGTATTATTTATGAGTTCAGAAGAAAATAAAGACTTCCCTGCTGTGGGATTGAAAACCAAAGAAGGCAGAGAGCAGCTATACTGGAAAACAATTAAAGCTTTTCAATATGTTCATGACCATTATTTAGAAGATGCTGATTGGTTTATGAAAGCAGATGATGACACCTATGTCATACTGGACAACCTGAGATGGCTTCTATCCAAGTATAACCCTGAACAGCCCATTTACTTTGGCAGAAGATTTAAGCCCTATGTGAAGCAGGGGTACATGAGTGGAGGAGCAGGGTATGTACTGAGCAAAGAAGCCTTGAAGAGATTTGTTGATGCATTTAAAACAAAGAAATGCACACATAGTTCCTCCATCGAAGACTTAGCACTGGGAAGATGCATGGAAATCACGAATGTAGAAGCTGGAGATTCCAGAGATCCCACAGGAAAAGAAACTTTTCATCCTTTTGTACCAGAACACCACTTAATCAAAGGTTATCTACCTAAAACCTTTTGGTACTGGAATTATAACTATTATCCTACTGTAGAGGTAAGTCTACAAGTTACTATATAAATGCTTAGGATTGACTGTTGTTGACTTGGAAAAAAAAAAAAAACCCAGACTAGTTAATATGTGTATATTTGTATGTGTCTTTAGTACCAGTAACTTGAACTTTTTAAATGTATAGACTGGGAATATAACAAAGCAGATAAGCATAGAACAGAGGCCCAGCCAGTCCCTCAACAGCTAGCTGTTGATAGTGCTACGTGCCAGGCACTGAGCACATAGAAGTAATACAGTCAAGTTCCAGTTTTCAAGAATCTTACATTCTGCGTAAGGAGATACGAAATAAATAGGCACACTTTCAAAGATGTGTCTTTAGGTAGTGGAAAGTGTTCTAAAGAAAACCAACTAAGGAGACAGTGACCCAAAGCTGGTGGACTATTGTGATTTGAGTGATGAAGGATGTGACTGAACAAAACCCTGGTGAGGCTAGGGAATAAAGAACCTTATAGTCATCAGAAAAGAAAAAAAAATGACATTTAGAAAGACCTGGATTCAAATCCTATTCTTCTACTTGTAGTTGGATGATCTTGTTGTACAGAATTTGGCTAATCTCTGAGCTTTAGTTTCCTAATTCTTAAAATGGATGTGATCTATGAGTATCATTTACTTGTAATAACAGTGTAGTGTTTAATAATAAGCTTTGGCTCTGGGTTGATATCTTAGTGTATTTCTCAGAATTGTATCTAAATTACATTGTTTTTATGAATTATCTCAGATCTGTATACACCTCAGGTTTATTAAGAATAATATACTTTGTACTCACCATCTAGATTTACCAAATATGTCTATTAGCACATTTACCTCAGATGTTTTCAAAAATAAAATGTGTTTGAAACAGATGAGGCCTGCGTGCTCTTCCAGTCCTTATCTCCTTTCCATAAATTAAACTATCATGAATTAAATATTACTCATTACCTATATGTTTTTATATTTTCCTACATAAATCTATACAGTAGTTTTATAGAATGTTTACAGAATTATATCATATACATCTTTCTGCAAATTTCCATTTTCATACATTAATATAGCTAGTTTAACTTGCTTTGTGGTAATTTAATGTATGAATATGCCATAATTTACCATTTTCTTGCTTATTGGCATATAGGTTTTCTCCAAGTTTTTTACTTAGAAGCATTCTTACAGTGAATAACTAATAAATGGCTAGGAACAGAAAACCTAGCTTTTAAGGCTCTGTTATTGATTAATAATGCCTTTAGGCAAATCTTTATATTTTTAGGCCACCTTTTCTTTGGCCCTAACATTAACAATATATTCCATGGCACCAGTCTGAGTCAGTGCTTTTCAAATCATCCTCTAGAACAGTGGTTTTCAACTAGCGCTAATTTTGCCCCACAGGGGACATTTGGTCTGGAAACATTCGATTGTTTCCAGTAGGAAGTAGCTCTTGGCATCTAGTGAGTGCTTTCCCACTTACCATCCTACAATGCACAGAATAGCTAACAAAGATGATCTGGCACAAAATATCAGTTGTGCCAAAGTTAAGAAATCGTAGTGTAGAATTTGGCCCAACCTTTATACTAACCTGCTTTCAAAGGAACCTTGAGACAAATCACCACTAACCTCCGCTGTCAGTATTTTGCATTCTTATTTATACATACATCATAGCTGACTTCATACTACTACATTTAATAGTAGTTAACAGGAAAGTTAACTAACCTCCCTGGCTTTGGAATAGTCCAGGCAGTTGCAAACCATTGTGACTGAAAGTTCGTATTGCCATTGTACTGTTCCTGAGTTCCTCTCCATAATTTAACTAACTCTGTGCCAAAAGAAAGGGCAGAGCATGTATATTAAAATAGCTATCTGTCATTGGAGTAAAAAAATCAATGTGTGCCACCTTCACTGCATACCACAGCAGTACTAGGAAGATCTACATCTGGGGTTTCAGTCCCGTGTCATGGCTCTCTTTTTGTCTCTGACCCAGCACCATATTTAATTTTGTACCTTTACAATGTTTTCTAAGCCATTAACAAGAGTGTGTTGTACCTCTTTTTCTTTCTCAGTGGCAACTGTCATGTCTTTTTCCTTATATATAAACTGGTTGATTTAGTGAGATACATTTTGCCCAACAATTTTTCTTTGTTACCTTTTAGAACCCTTAGTAAAGTTTTTCAGTTTCCTCAGATCTTTATATCTTAAATATTACCCTATGCATTTACTATTTTTATTACTGTCTTACTTGGGCTTTAAAAATTAACCCTTATACTTTCTTACTGACATATATAAAAACTTTTTTTCCTGTGGTATTGGGAAGTTTAAACCTAGGGCCTCACACATGCTGAACAAGTGCTTGCACCATCCTGCTGTTATCTGCAGTGCTTTGTGAGAACTTGTTAAAGTAACTTTTAAATCTGACTGTTGTGAAATTGTTTCTTTCTGATGATTTCTTACTTGAAATTTTTGGATAACTCATAATCATGTTCAAGGAACTGGCTTTTTTTTTTCTTTCCAGTAATCATAGCATTTTTTATTGTCTTTTACTGCTTATAATGCTTAAGAATAATACATCCTAGCTACTATCCAGTAAACAAAAAAATAAAAATAAAAAATAATATTGGAGGTATGTAAAATTGTCATCAAAAGAAGAAAAACTAAGTATGTTTGTTGTCTTTACAGAATAAAAAATTACAATATTGGAGGGATGTAAAATTGTCAAAAGAAAACTAAGCGTGTTAGTTGTCTTTGAAACAGTTTGAAAAAGCATAGTATAGAGGTGTTTTTATTTTACTATAATTTTTAAATACTTTTTCAGTTTTTGGAAACCTTAAAAATTAGCCTAAATGTTGACATTAAGTATATATCAAATAACCAGTATCTTTAGTATTCTAATTCTTCTTTTTTAAAAAATGACTCTAGAGAAGATCAACAACTACGAACAAAGAACTGGCTCCAGTAAGCAGTTAGTTTGCTGTGAGCTGGGGAGTGCGCAAGTGGCACCAGCTACAGGTTGCTGTGAAGTGCTAGAAATACAGGACTCTGCACAAATAAGGAATGGTTTCATTAATATTTTGAATACTTGTTGCATACTGAAACCATATAATACATTTTTTCAGTTTAATTATATTTAATTTTACCCATTTTATTTTTTAATGTAGATACTAGAAAATTTCAAACTGTATGACATAACTCATGTATATGTTAGACAGCTGATTTAAATAACATAATTGACTTGTCTGGTTACTTTTTCGTATTTGGATTTTTTGTTGTTGCTTTTTGTGAGACTTGGTCTCCCTATATATAGCCCAGGCCTGCCTTGTATTCACCGTCCTCCTGCCTCAGCCTTCTAAGTGCTAGAATTACAAGCATATATTATCATGCTTGGCTTTCAATTTGTTTCTCTTCTGCTGTTCACTAAAGTTGTAAGGAATAGCCACCAGATAATTTTCCAGTATCTGCATGGTTATTCAAGAATCCACAGCCAAGATTTGTTCCAAAGGACAGTTCCAAGAGAGGCAAGGAAAATGCAGTGGACAGCATCTTGCTCATTTGTACTATACAGTAAGCCACATACTTCGAAACATGACTTACGGAATGTTCGCTCTGAGCTTGTCAGCCTATTTCCCTCTGTCCTTGCCAAAACATCTGATAGAATCTAAGTTTTTTAGGGTCACTTGAATGAATTATTCTCCTGATAGTAATCCTAACCCTAGACGGGCCTCATGTCTGTTAATTTGTCCATTCCCCGCCCCCTTCTTTCTTGTTCCTTTTTCTTTGCTTGTTTATTGTTTTAAGTTTTTGTTTTGTTTTAAACCTGTTCTTAACACTAGTCCTCATAAAGATCTATTAAGATGCGATTGAACAAATTATAAATCTGACCATTTTACCTGAGGCCATTTGGATTTCATTATTTTATCAATGCTAGGTAACATTTACTGAGCGTTTATTATAAGGATAGCCACAAGCATCTTACATACACTATTTCCCTTAAATAACTATCTTTTGCAGATAGGGAAATTGAAGCTCAGATTTAGTAAGTTGCCCAAGGTCAAATACTAGTCAAATTTTAGATTCAAATGTAGATTTGTCTTGAGATTTCCTCTCTTAAATACATGTTAGGTTGACTGATTAAGTATTCAGTTATAGACACATAATGGGCAAAGCTTTATTGACATTGAGCCAAGTATAAAATTACAGTAAGAAAATGATGTAGACAAAGTATAAAAGTTGAACAAATAAAGCCTATTGTTAGAGTCCCTTTTCATTTGAGGAAATCTTAAGAATTTTATTTGGTTCAACACTAAAAAGTGTAAGAAAGTATGGGTTTACTTCAAAATACTTACACAATTTCGTGCTTGGTTTTAAATTATAAGGACTGATTTTTTTTCTTCTTCTTAACCAAGTCTAATAAATTCCGTACCTCTGCTTTCCCCCTTCAGCTTTGATGCTTTAGTTCTTTCAAAACTGGTGTGTTCTTCAAATATGTGAATAATGTACATGAATGTGCTGCTTATTAACAATGCCTGTTTCCATTACATTTTTAGGGTCCTGGTTGCTGTTCAGATTTCGCAGTTTCTTTTCACTATGTTGATTCTACAACTATGTATGAATTAGAATACCTCATTTATCATCTTCGTCCATATGGTTATGTATATAGATACAAACCTGACTTACCTGAGAGTATACTAAAAGATATAAATCAGGCAAACAAAAACGAAGATGCAAAAGTAAAATTAGGCAACCCTTGAAAGCAGAGTATGAACAAGCTGAGATGGAATGTCAAGCACTGCACTGAAGGACTCCTACATTTCTGAAGAAGCCTCAAATCCCAGTGACTTGCCCATTCTAAGTGAACATTCCATACAGAAAGCTTTCAAATGAATGACTATAAACTGAAGCTTTTAATGAGCTGTGAAGTCTATTAAAATGTGTTTTGATACAGTAATATATAAATATGTATGTAGAATTTGTTTTTAAAATGGTGACAGGTAGAAGAACTGGAAAAGATTTTGTTTCCTGTTCCTGAACACATGTATTAATCACTTCAAAATTAAAACAGTTAAATTTGCTGAAACTGTACTGCACCATGTTAGTAACACAATACTAAACAGATCTGCCTTAAAGAAAATTTTAGAATATTGTTGCTCAGTGTTTATAAACTCATTTGTAGTATGATTAAAAAACAAACCACCAGCCTCCTAATTGTCTAATGAAAATTTTTCTGTGATTATTTATAATTGGCAGTATTTCTCCAAGAAGAAGGTAGAGTAAGAATGGCACTTAACTCTGAGTGCACTAATAAAACCACACTTCGAAATTACCGTGGACCTTGGCTACATTATATATTTAGCTCTAATTAATCTTGTGTCAAATCTCTATTGTCTGTTTTCTAAATGTTTGACTCTTAAATACCATTCTCCACTATTAATGTTTATTTATTCAAAGCATTGGCAACATTCTGTAAAACACGCATTTTAAAATATTTTGTTCCCAAATTCACCCATTGTTACTTATGGGTAACTAATAAATATTAAATTTAATGCTATCTGGGCATGCTTTTCTTATATCATTGCCACTCTCAGGAATTACTAAATGGCATTTTTAATCGATTATTTAGAACTCTTTCCAACTACATAATTACTGTTCCTTTTATTCTCATCCTGTTAATGAGACTTGTTTGTGCCTTTCATAGCTTGTTTAAAGCACTTTCAAAATTCGTTTTTATGTCTGATATGGCTGTTAAGACTGGCAAAATATTTTTAATGCAAGTTTTGTCCAGAATTAAACTGTAGCAACTGAATGCTTAAACAAACTAAAATACTACTTATTTTATAAGTAACAACTGTTTCATGCCAACTTACTATGGGATAATTGTCTTGTTAATGGATAATTCTAACAAAGCAGAATACCCATTCAAGACTGCCATCAAAAACACATTCATGAGGCTGGAAAGATGATCCATTGGTTAAGAGCATTAACTGCTCTTGCAAAGGACCCAGGTTTGGTTCCCAGCACCCACATGATGACTAACAATTTGTAACTCCAGTTCTAAGGGATCCAGTGCCCTCTCCTGGTCTCTGTGGGCACTGCATGTACATGGTGTACTTACATACATGCAGGCAAAACAAAGATACACATAAATAAATCAATTAAAATCACAAATGTATCGTTCTAACTTCAGTGACTCTCCATTTAAAGAATTTATGGAAAGATTAAAAGTTTTTAAGTTGCTTTTTTTAAACTCAGCAATATTGGATGAAAACAGTAATTTACTGATTTTTTTCATGAAATTATTAATGTTGAATATGATTTACTTTTATGCTAATTTTACATGACTATACTAAATTTATTGTGCCAAAACCATGACCCCTTTAGATGACATTATTTGAAAGTCTGTTCATTTCGGTGGCTAATTATGAATTACTCCGTCCACGTAATGAAAAGACAAGACAATCCAGTTTTCCCTACTGCGTTGGTTTGAGTTGTTTCCATGGTGATGTCTTCTACCAAAATTCAAAGCATTCATTCTGTGCTTTGAACAGCTCTTTACTGTGGTTGGGATGTAGATTTTTCTGTGCTCCAAGTATGCTTATGCTTCTTGGAAGTATAAATGCTTCATCATAAACATCCAAAAAACTTAACATTTATGCATAGAAGAATGCTGCAATGAATCTTGCACTGTCCAAATCAGGCAGCCTGGGTTTTAAGTTCTTGCTCCATCATCTGTTTTTGAAACCTTGAACAATTAAATTTTTCTGTGCCTCAATTTCCTCATCTATAGAGATAAGGATATTACCTACCTCACAGGAGTTTAATGAGGATTACATAAATGATGAATACACATGCATGGTTCTTAGAACACTGGCCCAGAATAGGGAGCAATAAAAATAAGGTTTTATTCTGTTACCTTAGAGTCTGAGTAATTTGATTTAAATGAATAAAATGATCAAATCAGACACTGAAGGAAATACTTATAATAGCTAGTATTCATCTAGTGCCTACTGAATACCAGGTACTACAAGTATTCTGTGTACATTTGTGTTAATCCTTACAAATTAGGTGTGATTTCCATATTGTAGATGAGGAAACCGGCTCAGAATTCAAGTAACATTTTCACTGTTACAAAGCTAGTAAGAGGGCTGGAATTTATACTTAAAACCTGTGTGTTGTATGTATCATGCCAACCTTAGGGTTAGTCATTTAGCATAATTCCTTTTCATATATGTATGTATGATACATGACATCTAGTATTGTTAGCCAATAATAGTCCAGTTAGCCAACTAAATTGTTAGAGTGACTGTTAAATTGTGATTCTCATACTCTTGCTTGGAGTTTGTTCAGATGACAGTCTTCAAGACCCCAAGCCCAGAAGTTCTGATTTTAGCATGGAGCCCAGGAGTATGTGTCTTACCAGACACCCTCTAGTGAAGTTGTTGAAAGAGCAATACTGGGAACTTGTCAGCTTGCAGCCCTTTTTGGGCCCCAGTCCAGACCTTCTAAATCATCAACTCCAGGATAGAGACTAGCAGTTTGGTTTAAATAAGCCCTGCAGGTGAATCTTACTCATCCTATGTTGAAAACCATTGCCTATTTACCTACATGATTTTGGTACAAATAGTCTTTGGAACTCACTCAGGATTTCTGCCCCACAAGAAAGGCATTTGAGAGGCATTTTTCAAAGACTTGATGCATGCTTTAAATCGGTGTACTCTATGTTAAAAGTAAAATACTGTAAAGGTAATTCAGAGGGTCAGTGGGTCATTGGTTTTGGCAAGTCTTTAGTTCTCCACAGTGACTATTAGGGCCCTCAAAAACCTGTAATTCTCCAGGGCTAGTCATTTCATATTGAGCAGGAAGGGTTCAGTAAGTACTGATACACATAATGAATTCATGAAAAGCATAGATAAATGAATGTCATAAACATGTTCACTTGTTAAAATTTTTCAATAGAAAGAGCAAAATACTACTTTATAATACTGAGAGTATTTTCTGCTAATTCATACCATCAACTTAAATTTCATCACTTTCAAAAATCATTTGATTATCCTATGATAAAATGAAGCAAAAAGTTCCGTGCATTAGAGCATATTTAAACTTTTAAGATTTCATGACCATGATACTTTAACATTTAGGTTAAGATCTTTGTCCTTTGAGTAAATGATTTTAGTGTGGTCTTCAAGGCATAGAGCTTTTAGTACAATCTCATAACAATATGTTTGTATTTTGTAGTGGTACATTCACAGATACAAAGCGGGTTTCTGTCTCAGAGTTTTGTTTTTCAAATAAATTTCGGAGATCATGTCATTATTATATAAAGATTAGAAAATAAACCACTGACCAGTTCTTACTTTTCTCTTAATGTGGTTAGAGTTCGACCATTAAGTTTACTAACTGGTTATTTAATTTGATAACCTCTTGAGCCTATCAGAATATCAGATTGAGCCTATCAGAATTATCGGATTCTTATACTGAAAGATTTCCTCATTTGTTGACCAGACCGTACTTAGCTTTTGTTATTTTTTTCACTTACAGTTCAATTCCTGTGGTCTTACTGTCTTTGATAGTCCTTTATGCTTCTGTTTTCTATCTACTCTTTTTTTTTTTTTCTTTTTTTTTGGTGTTTTTGAAGCAGGTTCTCCCTGTAGTTCCAGCTCTCCTGGAACTCACTATGTAGACCAGGCTGGTCTTGAACTCACAGAGATCTGCCTGCCTCTGCCTCCCCAAGTGCTGGGACTACAGACATGCGCCACCACACCTGGCTTCTATCTACTCTTAATGCTGGCTTTTTAAGGTTAATTTGGCTGCTTTGGATGGCCAGAATTTCTATCATGGATAATTTTATACCTGCTAGGTTTAGGTTTCCCTATGAAATTAAAAGTCTTCACAGTAATGTCTGCGGGTTCTCAGGATATTTGCCCTAATTAAAAGCCTATAACTTTAAAACAGTTCTACATCTACAATTATTGAAGGAAATAAAGTCGTTTCCCATCCTCTTAAAAGCAAAAAACAGACTCATTTGCTTCATTTCTATTTTCTGTTAGACCTGTCAGAAATATACATGGGAAATCTGGGACACAACGTATGGTATATTTGATGTTAAATGTAACCTCTATTTCTTAAAAAATGATTTATAGTTGTATATCAAAGTTGTGCTAGCAGTTGTAATGCTGATTAAAATGAGAACTGTACAAATTCTGTTTAGAGAAACGACTCTTAAAAGTTGTTAAAAAATTTAGAGTTGAATGTACTTCATTTAATCTCCCCTACCTCTGAAATTTTCAGTTTATATTAGTTAGGTTTGAATAACTTTGCGGGGCCCTATGTGAAGTACATTATTAGAGGGAAACTAATCTTACTGCTAAGCAGTGTGTTGTATTATACAGTGAATGTGTATGTTCTGGAATTAAAGACTATTTAATAGTGTCAATGAATGGTTTAAAGATGTCTGGTGACTTGCTTATTTTAAGTGATCACCATTAAGTTAGAAAAAATGTATTTTTAAACTTTTTAAAGTGCCTTTTGAGAATTTTTAAACAGCTGCATAAAATAAATTACCATGTTCAAAATTGTTTCATCTGTTTATTTTTAACTGATATAAAAGTTTGGGGATAATCTTTTATGGGTAGTTTGGGGATTTTTTTCCAAAGTTTTTCATTTTGAATAAACATGATTTTTCTGCAGTAAATATTACTTAAGGCAACAAAGTATTCCACGGTGATGTAGAATAGTTGGTGTAACTTTAAAAATTAGAACACCTAGTCAATATAGTTCTGAAGAGAAGGACAGGAGATATGGAGAGGGAGATATAACAACGAGGGAGGGAACAAGACAGGAGGAGAGAGATTGCTTTCCTGTTTCTTAATTTTGGGGCCTGTCATGTACACTGAGAAATCCATTTAGCTGACATGATTTTGGCAAGCATTAGCTAGATACTGTGGTGAGCAAGACATACAAGTTCCCTGTTATCAGAGTCAGAGTCCCTGCTGTCATTCTAGAGTCAGAAAATAAGTCAGTAAATGAGTGAACTAGTTGTTTGAAAGACATTTAGGAAAATAAAGTCATACAAAAAAGCTGTTGGAGATGTGAGCTCTCTTCTGCTCTGGCTTCTATGCCTTCAGCTTGCTGCCATGCCTCCTCCCCAAGTTGAAACTCTTCCTTCTGTAAGTTGCCTTGGTCAGGGTGTTTCAGCATGGCAATAGAAAAGTAAATACTGTGATATTTATGTTGCTAATTGACATCATTTTAACGTTATTTACCTAAATACATTGGGATTTTCTCTGTTAAATTTTCCAAGTATAATCTCATAGTACTAGAAAGAATATAGAGGCAGGTGGATCTCTGTGAGTTCAAGGCCAGCCTGGTCTACACAGTGAGTTCCAGGATAGCTGGAGCTACAGGGAGACCTTGTCTCAAAAAGATTTTATATATATACATAGGACTGCTGAATTCATCTCCTTGCTAAAAGGAAGAGCCCTACCTCAAACATATTTATAGTAGCTAATAATATTAACAGTATATGCTACCTAAGATTTTTTTTAACAAATGAACATTTAACAACTGAAGTTCAACAACTAACATTTTCCAAATGAATCTATGAGTAACACATGGAAGTGTATTGTAACAAGTTTATTTTTCTGATTAGTGCATTTAGTATTGCTGCCTAGAACTCTGCTCTTAAAACTGTCCCCATGCATCATCTGCCAAAAGAACCACCACTTGTTTGTGCTAATGGTTCTTAGATTCTGGTACTGATGTTTTTCTGCTTTTGTTCCAGGTCTGAAATTTTGTCTTTATATGGTGCAGTTGAACACAACACCTTACTTAGTAATAACAAACTACTCTTTTTTTTTTTTTAAATGAGTCTCAGTCCTAGATTGTTAGCTATGTGAGTTTATTAATGAATTTTGTAATGAAAGATAAATAGTGCTTCACTGTTCATAAATGAGGTACCTAGCAGTTTAGGTGAAATGTCTGATTAGGTTCTGTAAGCTACAGATTTGTTGCTATAGAGTTCACAGTACAGCACATTTCCACTCCTTCTCTTAGCAGTGCCGTCAGACTCGTTGATGGCACATAGGTTGAATTTCAGTTTCCACTCTCCTTGTTGTCATTGTTAGATTGTGGGGAAGTGATGATAAAACCCAGATAGTGGAAAAGTGATTCACCTTTTCCTTTCATTCTATGTCTTGTTATGTGTGTATGAGAGAGGTGTGGCTATTTTTAAAATTCCATTTCTTTAAAATATTAAAACTTGCCCTTCGTACTGATTAGCTTTATATAAACAGCTTTTCTCGATGAATTAAAAGTATGTGTTTAAAATAAATGGCCACAGAGATGATTTCTGGCTTATAAAATAACTTATAAACCTAACTACTCAGTTTTTCTCTGCCCTTTGCCTTTTGCTTTTTTATTTCTGCCTCTTTGAACCTTCCCTTTACTCTTCTATGTCTTTTCCTCTCTCCCTCCATTCCTCCCTCCCTTTCTCTCTCCCTTCTCAGTGGCAACAAAAGACTATTCCCAATTTCTATCAACAGGTACACTTTGAAAACTTGTTTTAAAATTTATTAATATCTTACATAAAGGAGAATTTTAGTTTTAAAAAATATTTTACTGTTTTTATTTTATGTGTATGAGTGCATTGCATGCATGTATGTAAATGCACCCACATTGTGCAATGCTCACAAAGGACAGAAGACAACTTTGGATCCCCTGGAACTGGAGTTACAGCTGTTAGCTGCCATGTGGGTGCTGAGATTCAAACCCGGCTCTTCTGTAAGAACAGGCAGTGTTCTTAACCCCTGAGCCATCTTTAGCTGCCATGTGGGTGCTGAGATTCAAACCCGGGTCTTCTGTAAGAACAGGCAGTGTTCTTAACCCCTGAGCCATCACTCCTGCCCCTACAGAATTTCAGTTTTCATTTAATCTAAGCAACTTTTCTATAAGTCCCTGAGAGATGACTGAGAATGCATGCTGACATTATAGTTTTCTCTTTCCTATGAAAATGTTTATGTCTAAAACCTATGTAGTGAAAATGTGGGCTCTTAAATGCATAGTATTCAATGAGACTCAGTCCTAACTTTTTACAACAATTGATACCATTTGACTAAAATGGCCCCGACTGGCACTGTGGTGAAGGAAGTTCTCTGGGACAGAGTTAGATGTATTTTCCTCACTTATTTGAAACAATGAAGAGAAGTATTCTCTGCTTTGCTGGAGGTGCTCAGACCACAGTGGGAAATGTGATCTGCATTATACAGCCAATAGTTGAAGGAAGCTGGCATCTCTTACCACTGCCAGCGGTCTTTGGAACCAGAGCTTCAAGTTTTGCTAGTGTGAGAAATAGCTGTTTCTCAGTTGAAAGGAAACAGCGTCAGATAGGAGGTGGAAGACAGTAAGGTGCTGACCTGATTCCAAGCGGGCTGAGGAATACAGAGGCAGGGCACTGAGAAGGGATACTTGCACTCATTCTAAAGAAATAGATTCAAGTCAGTTGTTACTGTAGCTCACAGGGTTCATAACTGGCTAAGGGTTATGATTACCTTTCTCTGTCAGTAATATGCATAGTACCTTGTAGTGCTATGAAAGCCAGCCAGTAGAGATGAAGCCTCAAGGTCAGTACCAGCTTGATTTCTCCTTGATTCTTCTGCAACTCGGGTTTGTTCAGCAATAGGTCTTACCATCAAGTCCGCTAGTGCAATACTGACACAAATATTACAAGAGTAACTGACCACCTTCTAATTAGATTTAAGGCCTACTTCACAAGATAGAGTTCTTACATGACTGTGTTGTCATGACCAAGAACCTGTGACTAGACAGGTCACAGACCATAGAAGAGAACTTATTACTATCATTTGGCTAAATAGACATAATATTAAATTGACTCATAACAACTTATTGTTATATCCAATATCTTAGTGCACCTCTCATCTCTCACCAAAGAAGGTTCTTCTTGCGGCACATGACAACACAGAGACCCACAAATGGTCACTGTACAGAGAATAAGAGCTGAAGAGTGCCCAACTCTAAAGGGGACTCCTTTATCATACCCTCTCCCTCCAACACTCAAGGATCACTGCAGAAGAGGGGGTGGAAATATTGCAGGAGCCAGAGGTTGTAAATGAATATAGAGAAACTGTATTTTCTGGACACTACATGCAAATTGTACATATAAACCCACAGCACCTATAGCAGCATGCATAAGACCTGTGTAAAACCAAGCCAGACGGGCTCAGCATGGATAGGGGAGTTGGGCAAGAAGCCATAGCCCTACCTGAGGATCTATTGGCATTTGACGGATCCTGGGAGAGGGACAGTCCATTTTTCTTACTGGTGTGATGCCTGGTAAGTTGACAAGATTCCTGGGGATAGACACACACCCAGTAGCACTTGGAAAACACAGATTACACTTGATAAACCTTAATGAAAAGATAAATAAGAGGACATGAAGTTGGGAGGAGGAATAGTAAATTGGAGGAGGAAAGGGGGAGGAGGTCTGAATATGATCAGTATATATTTTATGAAATTCCTAGATTCAATAAAAACATTTAAAAAAGAAACAGATTCAAAGTTTATTAGCCTAAAGCTCAGTTATCTCAAGGAGCTATTCATTGGTTTAATTGGCTTGGATCCATTTTTTGGTAGAATTTACTTTTTTTTTTTTAAGATTTATTTTATTGTGGGGCATGGTGACACAAGTCTTTAAGCCCAGCAATTGGAAGGCAGAGGCAGGCAGATCTCTATGAGAATGAGGCCAAACTGGTCTACATAGGGAGTTCCAGGGCAGCTGGGGCTGCAGAGAGCTCCTGCCTCAAAAACACCAAAAAAAGATTTAAGATGTATTTTATATACATGAGTATTTTCCCTATATGTATATACGTGTACCATGTGTGTGCAATGCCAACAGAGGCCAGAAGGGGCATTAGATCCCCTGGAACTAGCGTTTCAGACAGTTGTAAGATACTGTTGTGTGCTGGGAACCAAACCTGTGTCCTCTGGAAGCTCAGGCAGCACTTTTAGCCACTGAGCTATCCATCTATCCCCTAGATCTATTCTTTCTAATTATCAAGTTCTCATCCTTTTGAAATGACTGGGCCCCTGACATCATGAAGCAAGGTAGGTGTTCAATCTTAAAGGTTTTCAGAACTAGCAAATAATAACCAGAAAGTAAAGAAGAGAAATTGCATTTCATAGAGTGAACCATCTCTTGGGATAAAAGACCAAAATATGCATGTATTCTAAGTCAGCTTAGTTGAGAAAGAAACATTTTTGTAGACAAAAGATTTATTTCAGAGTTCAGGATTAAAATAGTCCTGTCTCACTTAAAATTCTTCATTCCTATATTACCTCTTTTTTCCTCCCCACTGCTGCACAAGTGCTCTGCCACTGAACTATATCCCTGAACCTAAACCAGCTCCCCCAACTCCCCACCCCTGCTTTTCATTTTGAGACATGGTCTCACTAAGTTGACCAGGACAGCGTTACATGTACTCAGGTAGTATTGAACTGGTGCTCTTCCTGAGTACCTGAGATTATTTATGTGAGCTACGAGGCTCAGTTTCACTTCTGCCTCTTGAATTACAGCATATTTTTACCAAGTTTGCTGCTACTTATTACCAAATATTTAACTCAAGACAAATTCAACCTCTAATCAAACATTTAACCAATATTTGATTGTCTACTACTTCAAATAAAGTATTATATAATAGGGCAAATGATTTTTTAAAATATTTTATTATTTTATGTGTATGTGTGTCTTGCCTGCATGTAAGTAAGCACACCTGTGTTGGCAGCAAATGATTTTTTTGTTGTTGTTGGTCTCAAGGAACTTACTTTCTATGAGGCAGAAAATGAAAATTTTTAAAAAGGTAGTTACATGTGCTTGGACTGTATATTCAGGCAGAGAGTGTGCTAGTTGGCTTATGCTACAATTATTCCATTGAATCTTTAAACATGTCCTGGTAGTAGACATAGCTATCCCATTTGTAGATGAAGAAACTAATTTACCCAAGTCAGGGTAGATGACAAGGAGCAGGATCAGTGTTTCAATGTGTCAATGAATTAGGTCTCAGACTCTACACTGTAAGGCTTTAAAAATGAGCAAAGAAGAAAGAACTTTTCATAAGCATGTCTTCTCTCTCTTTTTTACTGTCAGTGTGGGGTTTTGCGCATGCATGTGCGTGTGTGCGTGTGTGTTTTCCTGTTTTGTTTGCCAGTTGGATTCTACATGATGACTTTGTGTTTACCCACACTGTGTTTACCCTAACTTCATGAAGATGACCTCTTCCATCCTAGGTCGCCATAGTCAGAGGTAATTTCTTCAAATATTCCAGTGGCTCAGGGAATACCACAAAAATTGTGTCCATTTTATTTAATTACATATATACATGTTTATGTTTACCTATGTTTTGATACATATAGTATCAGGATGTTAGTACTTGCAAATTCAAGATACATTATCTAAAACATTTTGCCGATAGAATATACCATCAAAATTTTTGTTCTTGCCTAAACCAGAGTCACATCGTGACACAGCAATTGTCCTGGTGTGCTGGAATCCTCAGAGAGAACTGCTGGTCTTGAGTTATAGACAGGAACAGCCAGTGTCCCTGTTGGTGTCCTACCCAGATCCTAGAAAGTTTGATTGTCAGGCCTCTTTACCCAATAGAGCGTTGATACCTACTTGGTATATTATCAAAACCTTTCAAAATAAAAGGAAAATATTTTGCTCTCAGTTCTATAAAGTTTTAGTTGTATCTTAAGTATTGCTCATAACAAATCATCTTAAAGAACAGTTTGTGTTATACATATTTTCGTTTCCCCTGCAGTGATTTCATTTATCCATATTTGAATATCCTGAAGTGCCTAAAATATGGTCTTTTCTAGATTGCCACAGTGTGGTGGTTTGAATGAAAATGTCCCCCATAGGTTCCAAGTATTTTGAAATTTTATCCCCTGGTGGTGGTGCTGTTTGGGGAGGTTTTAGGAGGTATGATCATGCTGGAGGAAGTTCGTCACTGGGGGCAGGCTTTGAGAGTTCTTAAGCCTTGCCGGATTTCTAGTTTTTCTGTTTCCTGTGCCTGCTTGAAGATGTGAGCACTCTACTTTCTACTCCAGTCACTTCTTCTCACTATGCCTCCAGGCCATGATGAACTCTCATCCCTCTGGAACCATAAACTCAAACTCTCCTTCTGTAAATTTCCTTGGTCATGATATTTTATCACAGTAACAGAAAAGTAAGTAATACACACAGAATGTAAAAGACAAATCCTGTTGTAGAAACAGAATTACAAATAAGTGAGCAGAAACTCATAAATTTAAGGAATACTGTAAAAATGAGAAGGTCCATACAATAGGTTTTGAACCTCTGGGTTCATAATTTAATAATAGCTGTACATCTTGAAAGCACATAAAGAAAGAAGATTTTAAGTGGCAGTAGCTTTCTCTACTGGATGCCCAAGTTGGAAATGAAACTTAGTGAAGAATCTCAAAGGTTGCCAGTGATCAGAACTGAATATTTGTTAACCTGAAGCACCTAAAAAAAGGGCAGTTGAAAGAACCAGATGCTGTACAGGAAAAGAAAAAAAAATTGAACATGAAGTAAGAAACTCCTTGGACAATCATCCCTCAAGCACCCCCTGCCCATATCCAGCTGTCAGTATGAAAATCCTCCCTCTGTATCACTCAGTGCCTTCTACACAGAGACTTCATCCTGACAAGACAGCTTAAGCTTCTGAAGTACACTGGCTCTGGATGTCAAGGGGGAAATGCTACTTCTCTGACATAAACCCATCAGCCCATCCCTTGACAAGATGAAGGGATGCTTAAAAAATGCTTTTCTCTTTTTAAATATTTAAAATGCTTCTCTCTTTTTTTGTGTGTTAGTTTTCACAAAACAGACAGAAAAGTACCAATCAAGAAATTAACCCCCACCCCAAATTAACCAGTGCTATAGTTTGCATATTCACTGCCATCTTTTTTTTGGGGGGGGGTTGGGCCAATCAATAACTTATTTAGTAAGTGGTTAGATTTATTATTTTTTAAAAATTAAGGTACAGGGGCTGGAGACATGGCCCAGCAGCTAAGAGCACTGGCTGCTCTTGCAGAGGACCCAAGTTCATTCTCAACACACACATGACAGCTAACAATCATCTGTAACTCCAGTTCCAGGGGATATGACACCTCTTTTGACCTCTGCAGACATTTCACAATATGGGTGCACTTACATACATATATGAGTGACATAATACACTCATATACATAAAATAATAAAATATTTTTTAAATTAAGGTACAAAGATTAAAATTTAAGTAATAGAACCCTGGAGTCCTCCTATCTAAAACTAGTCCCAGAATCTACCTATGCATAAATGTAAACTAGAACAGTAGCCTAAATGTGTAGTTAATACTACTTTTAAAAATATAATTCTTGGGGATGGAGAGATGGCTTAGCAATTAAGAGCACTGACTGCTCTTGCAAAGGACCTGGGTTCAGTTCTCAACACCCACATGGCAACTAACAACCATCCATAATTCCATTTCCAGGGAATCTGACTCCCTCTTCTGACCTCTGCTGGCATTGTATGGCATATATGCAGGCAACACATATGCACACAAACATTTCTTGATAAATATACACACACACACACATATATGTGTGTGTGTGTGTGTGTTTCTTGAGAATCTGCAGATTGACCTAGAGTGAGGCTGGGCCAGCATCTAAGCAAAAACAAGGTCAAGTCACTTCAGTGAAAGGAAGGGACAGAAGGAAAAATAGCACACTGGCTTTCAGCTTCTCCATGGCAACGTTAGGTGCTAAAGCAAAGCCCATCATATTCTAATGTTGACTGAGAAAGGCCAAACTGATCTCAAGTATAAAGACTAGTAGGAGTTGTCAGAGAACATGTTAGTAGACACTGAAATTTAGGATAATGAAGCCCATTTAAAATAAGAGGAACAGAAGACATGTTTATATTTGCATTATTTAAATACAAAATTAAGATAGAATATGGTTATAAATCTTGATACAGAAAAAAATGACTGACAGATGGGAAAATAGAAAATGGAAAGTGTTTTAATATTTATTATTTTTATTTAATGTGTATCAGTATATTGCCTGCAGGTAGGTGCAGTTGTGTCATGCAATGTCCATGGAAGTCAAAAGAGAGTGTCAGATCCCCTGGAACTGGAGTTAAGGATAGCTATTAACCATTATGTGGGTGCTAGGAATGGAAGCTGGGTCCTCTGCAAGAGCAGCTAGTGCTCTTAACCACTGAGTCATTTCTCCAGTTGTGGGAATGGAAGGTCTTAATTGCTTTTACCTTTCAGAAGATAACAGAAATTTTGTAAAGTTTTCTTTTTTAATTTTTGTTTTATGTGTATGAGTGTTATGCCTGCATGTAGTGCACCCATGTTGTATGGTGCCCACGGAGAACAGAAGAGGGTGTTGGATTCTCTGGAACTGGAGTTTTAGACAGTTGTTAGCCACTATGTGGGTTCTGGGATTCAAACCCCAGGTCTTCTGCAAGGACAAGTAATGTTCTTAAACACTGAGCAATCTCTCTAGTCCCACAGATTTTGTAAATTTTATCCCCCAAGAAATGGTAACAGAATATTCTCAAAATGGTATAGTTACAAAAAACTCCTAAAAATATAAAATATTAATATTATTGAAATCCAAACCCGAAAACACAGGCCATGGAGCAAAAGATAAAGAATTTTAAATAGAAATTGTAACAAAATGAAAGAACTAAGACATTAACCCCATCCCCACACACACCCATGGTACTAGAATTGGGAGGAAATTCATTGTCATTGGGTTCTATCTTGAACATTTAAAAAATCCTAATGAATTTCACAGTAGAGATGATTTAAGGGGAAAAAGAAGTGCCGATCCTCCACCACTGGAGTTTTAACAACCAGGGATGAAGAATGGCCTCAGGTATTTTTGGCAGCATTTCAAGTAAGCAGATAGAAAGGGAAGGATCCACTTTGTTAGTAAGGAAATGAAGGCTGAGGAGGATGGGCTTTAATTTCTGCGTTGAATACTGGCCTTATTTAGAAATGTCTTCACTGATGTAACTGACTAAGGATCTAGAAATGAGATCATTTTGATGTCCTTTGAGAGGGGAGGTGAGTTGACACAGAGAAACAGAAGGATATGAACACAGAGACAAGATTGAAGTTGAGTTCCCACAAGCCAAGGAACACTGGGTGCCACCACATACTGGGAGGGGCAGGTATTCTCCCAAGAGCCTTTGGAGAGAGTATAGCCATGCCAACACCTTAATTTCACACTTTGAGTAGTTCTAAAACTGGGAGTTTCTGCTGGTTTAAGTCACTGAGTTTAAGTCACTGAGACACAGCCTTTTTTTTTTTTTTTTTTTTTTTTTTTTTTTAACTTACAGCAGCCTAAATAAACAGTACTTATTGCAAAACAGCTGGAAAGTGTCCATGAAGGGTTCAACTTGAGGCATCGGACTCCAAAGGCCTTGGGGATGAGAGAGAACATGCTGTGCAGTGACAGTCTACTTCCTGGACAATTCTGTTTAGCCTAGAAGTCAGATTCAGTGGCACTGCCTTTTCAAAAGCACTTCCAACCTGTTCAGCACACTCTCCACCCTGGACTTCCCTCTAAAGCACTCGGCACAAGTTTTTAAACTAATTAGCTTTTAACTATGTAAGGGGGTTGTTATGCCCAATGAGAGCAAGATTGGTATTTTATCTCCTCTGTATGATAAAATAATATGAATTTTACCCAGTTATTGTAAAGTTCTAAGGCTACTTTAATGTGTTCTACATTTATGCAGATGTCTAACCAGAACACCCTTCTTGTGCATGCAATGACCTCTGGCATTGTTTCTTGTTATGTAGCATTTAGCTATACATATGGACTCTTAAAAAATTATATTGACCCCTTTGATTTTTGGCTATACTTTCCTTTGGGGTGTTTAAGACCCTACAGTTGGCCCAGATAAACCAATTTATTTTTACTCTTAAGGTCGTTTGAGGATCTGTTCCTCAGGGGTCACATGGGCTTGGAAGGAGCCCCTGGCTCCTTTTTTTTTTTTTTTTTTTTTTTTTTACCAGTTCCGTCTATGTGAAGATAAGTCAAAGGTCCTGCTCCAACCTGGCTGGCTTCACTTGGAAGCATGGAGGAAATGTTTCCTCTCTGTTGACCCTCCTCTTTGTAGACTGGACACTGGTTCAAGTCCATCTCGTGTGGTCTCCACAGCCTCCTTGATCAAGAGGACAGGTGACTAACCACAGTTGCAGGACATTTTGAGAGATACTCATAGTCTCCTAGAACTTAGTTGACCTAGCAGGGCAAGGAGCAAAAACTGTCCTTTATGTCCCTCTGACCAAATTAGTATAGGCCTCAAAGTATGGCTGTTAAACATCCAATAAGGTTAGTTCCACCAGTGTGGAATTTTTACATACCATATGCCATGTAGATAAAACTTGGGCAAAGACCAAACATTCTCAGATAAACCTTGCCTAGACATATATTACATTCTTTGATCTAGTTGTATATGTAATTTGTCAGTATGTTGTTGGACTAATACAGTTTCCTCTGGTTTTTTAAAAACTAGCTAGACATTATTTCTCTCTTGCCTTGACTAACCCTTCCACCACGG